GAGAGAGAGAGAAAGAAAGAAAGAAAGAAAGAAAGAAAGAAAGAAAGAAAGAAAGAAAGAAAGAAAGAAAGAAAGAAAGAAAGAACAGGTGAAGGAAACTGTTCAAGACCTGAAAATGGAAATAGAAGCAATAAAGAAAATCCATACTGAGGGAATTCTAGAAAAGGAAAATCAAGGTTGGAAAATCAAAGTAAGCAAACAGCAACTACAGATATAAGCATCACTAACAGAATGCAAGAGATGGAAGAGAAAATAAAAAATTTCATGTCTTGAAGATACATTAGAAGAAATACAGTAATTGGTCAAAGAAAATGTTAAATCTAAAAAATTCCTAACACAAAATATCCTGGAAATCTCGGGCACTATATAAAGACAAAAACTTATGAATAATAGGAATAGAAAAAGAAATTCCAGCTCAAAAATCCAAAAACTATATTTAACAAAATTATAGAAGAAAATTTTCCTAACCTAAAGCATATCTTGCCTATAACAGTTCAAGAACACCAAAGGAAACAGTTCAAGAACACCAGGAAAGAAAATTAATGTGCCACATAGTAATCAAAACACTAACCATAAAGAATAAAAAAAGGATATTAAAAGCTTCAAGGGAAAACTGTTAAGTAACACATAAAGGTAGAACTTAATAAAATTTTACCCAACTCCTCAACAGAAACTCTGAAAGCCAGAAAGGTCTAGACAGATGACTTTCAGATTCTAAGAGACCACAAATGGAAACTGATACTACTATACCAAGAAAAAAATTAAATCCCCATAGATGAAGAATTCAAGATATTTCATGACAAAGTCAAAATTAAATAATATTTATCCAACAATCTATCCCTACAAATGGTACTAGAAGAAAAACTCCAACCTAAGGAGGTTAACTACATACATGAGAACAACAACAACAACAACAAAAATAGATTATGTCACACCAGCAAAACCAAAAGAAGGAACACACACACATACCAGCAGCAGCAACAGCAACAACAAAATAAAAGAAACTCACAATTATTGGTCATTAATATCTCTCAATATCAACCTTTTCAATTTCCCCAAATAAAAGACAAAAGTTAAGAGAATGGATATGAAAACTGGATCCATCATGTTGTTGCATACAAGAAATACACCTCAACATCAAAGATAGACATTACCTCAGAGTAAAGGGTTAGAAAAATATTTCACAAGCCAATGGACCCAAGAAACAAGGTGGTACAGCTATTCTAATATTTAACAAAATAGATTTCAAACCAAAATTAATCAAAGGAGATGGAAAAGGATATTTCATACTCATCAAAGGAAAATTCATCAGGATGATGTCTTAATTCTGAACATCTATGCCTCAAACACAAGGTCACCCACATTTGTAAAAGAAACATTACTAAAGCTTAAATCACACAACAAACCTCACACATTAACATTGGGAGGCTCCATCACCCCATTCTTACCAATGGACAGGACATCCAGACAAAAACTAAACAGAAATAATGGAGCTAACAGACATTGTGAATAAAGTGGACCTTACAGACATCTACAGAATATTTCACCCAAACACAAAAGAATATACGTTTTCCTCAGCACCTTGGGGAATATTCTCCAAAATTGACCATATATGTGTATACAAACCTTGTCCCAATAAATAAAAGAAAATTGAAATGACCCCCTGTATCCTTCCAGACCACAGATTAAAGCTAGAATTCAACAACAGAAACAATAGTAAGCCTATGAACTCAAGGAAACTGAACTACCAAAAAATAAAAAACGGGGTAAAATCTAAACAGGGAATTCTCAAAAGAGTAATCTCAAATGGCTGAGAAATACTTAAAGAAATGTTCA